AGAGAGAGAGAGAGAGAGAGAGAGAGAGTTTGACAGTAACAGTAACATACAGAATGGTATGCGCGCACAGAATATCATTGCTTTCGGTCACTTTACTCACTCGGTTGGCTCCGCATTGCGTAAGTATTAAATAACAAATGTCAGTGATTTTTATCGGAGGCTGTGTTATGTTGTGCGCACACAACACATAGATGTTATTTTATACCATTAAGTGACTAATATCTATAAATAGAAAATAACACCCAGTTCGTTTAATATTGTGTGTGATTTAATCTGTATAAAGAATTAATGTCATCTATTGATTTAATTTAAATATTATTAGTATTGGAAAAAATTAATATATTTAATAATGTTTGAAGTTTGATAATTATTTGTGTAAAAATTTTACAATTTATTTACATATACTGTATTGTAATTTAATCAAGCTTGATAATAATTGTCATTTTACTTTAAAATCATTATCATAATTTTAAATATATATAATAATAATTCACATTCATGAATTTCGTGGATTACGATCATCGTTACGATAAATCCAGGTAAAACATAAATTTATAAAATCACCCATATGATTCTATCCCGGATATTATAGTCAGTATGAAAATGACGATGGTGCTTTTGCCAGTGAGGGGCATTGTCACGTTCAGGTCAGACAGCCACAGCACAACCATGGTAATAATTATACGAGATTTAGATTAATTTATTTTAAACATAATTAAACATGTTATAAAATTGTTTAAAATAAATTGACCAGGCTTATCACCATTTGTCACCAGTCCTCCAGCCATTGCCAACTGTCCGCCGGGTCTCGAGTATCTATTGGCCATCGACCAGATACTAGTGCACCAAAAGATTGAACTATGCGAAGGTTAATTAAATATTTAAACATAATTCTATGCATGGTAACATTAATTACTTATATTTAAGTTTACTTGATAATTATATTTGTTAATAGCGTTTTGTGGCTGCGAGACAAACAACCGATATCAAATTAAAAACAGTTTGGGCCAGAAAATTTATTATGCTAAAGAGGGTAAATAAATTCTCTCTCTCTCTCTCTCTCTCTCTCT